GGTGGATGCCACCAAGATGGTTGGGGGATGGAGCGTGCGATGTGTAAAGGGGGAATGAAAAAAACCCTTGTATCTCTTGAAGATAAGGCTCAGAAAGATCTTATTCCTGTCTAAAACTACCTAATGGGAGGGAGTCACGGTCACGAGCGGTGTTCCCCAAGGGTCAGTATTGGGGCCTGTCCTGTTCAATATCTTTATCGATGACCTGGACAAGGGGATTGAGAGCACCCTCAGTAAGTTTGCAGATGACGCCAAGTTGGGAGGAGGTGTCGGCCTGCCTGGAGGTAGGAAGTCCCTACAGGGGGATCTAGACAAGCTGGGTCGCTGGGCTGAGGCCAACAGGCTGAAGTTCAACAAGACCAAGTGCCGGGTCCTGCACTGTGGCCACAACAACCGCAGGCAACGCTACAGGCTTGGGGCAGAGTGGCTGGAAGATCGTGTGGAAGAACTGGACCTGGGGATGTTGGTCAACGTTTGGCTGAACATGAGCCATCAGCATGCCCAGATGGCCAAGAAGGTCAGTGGCATCCTGGCTTGTATCAGAAACAGTGTTGCCAGCAGGAGCATGGAGGTGATTGTCTCTCTGTACTCAGCACTGCTGAGGTCGCACCTCGAGTACTGCACTGAGTTTTGGACCCCTCACTACAAGAAATACATTGAGGTCCTGGAGCACGTCCAGAGAAGGGCAACAAAGCTGGTGAGCGGTCTGGAGCACAGGTCTTATGAGGAGCAACTGAGGAAACTTGGATTGTTTAGTCTGGAGGAGGCTCAGGGGAGATCTTATTGCCCTCTACAACTACCTGAAAGGAGGTTGTAGTGAGGTGGGAGTTGGCCTCTTCTTTCGCATAACTAGCCATAGGACTAGAGGGAATGGCCTCAAGTTGTGCCAGGGGAGATTCAGGTTGGACATTTGTCATGGTTTTACATTTTTTGTTTTTTCAGGTTTCAGTATTCCACATCAAAACATCATGTAGTGTACGGGGCATTAAAGTGTCACTGCCCCAATCCCAGGTACCTATCCCTGTACATTACAGCAGTCACGGGATCTGGCCCTTCCGGGTGGGGGGGGGCGCTCTCTTGCTGCCTTGCAGTGGGTGCTGGAGGTGCTTTCCTGGCCGTTCCAAGCTTTTCAGGTTTGACTCGGTCCCGGGAACTCTCTCTCTCATCTTGTCTGATTTATTAGTCTCAATTTCAATTAAATTGTATTATATTGCGTTATCTTGTATTCCGGTATTATAGTAAAATAAGTTTTCCTCCATAGATTGTTGCTGCTGTTCTTTTCCTCCCTTCCTTCCTTCCCATTTTTGTGGGACTGGGGTGGGTGGGGGGGAGGGCAGAGGCCTGTTGCCCCTCTGTCACAGACATAGATTGATCTGGTCAACTCCGTGACAACATTAGGAAAAAATTCTTCTCCAAAAGAGTGGTTAGGCGCTGAAACGGGCTTCCCAGGGAGGTGGTGCAGTCACCGTACCTGGAGGTGTTTGAGAAACATTTAGATGTTGTACTAAGGGACATGGTTTAGTGGGGAAATATTGGTGGTAGGTGGATGGTTGGACTGGATGATCTCGGAGATCTTTTCCAACTTTGGTGATTCTGTGATTCCGTGAGTAGAGAAGCTGGAGCCAGCCTCTCTCAGAGGCTTGCAGGGATATACAAGAGGCAATGTACTCAAGTTGGAACATGAGAAATTCTAATTTTATATACAGAAAAAGCTTTTTCAGCATGAAGGGGGTTAAATGCTAGAACAGTGTACCCGAGAGGTTGTGGCATTTCAATCCCCAGAGGTATTCAAATCTCAACTGGACGAGGACCTGAGCACCCTGCTTATTGGCTCTACTTCGAGTTGGGGTGTCCCTTCCCACATAAGTTATTTTGTATTTGCATCACTTGTGATCCATAGGTCAGTGATAGCTCTTGAAGTCTTTTTACTGGTATATGTATAAAGCTGCTTTGTCGTTCCTTTTTGTTACTTTTCTTGTGTTCGTGTACTGTTAGGGAGGGACGTTTACGCATTTAATGGTGAGAAATAGGTTTGAGGCATGTAAAAATATGAGACTAGAAGAGGATCATATTATGGTATATTTTGGATAATTCCTGTGTACAACAACAGGAGAGAAATAAGAAGCCAGTGGGGTGACCCTTGATCACGAGGCAGACAGATGTTTGGGTTTCGTATTTGGGGAAAGTACAAACCAACAGCTAAGAAGCACGGAGAATGGTGAGTAAGAAAGAACGGGCCCCCCCCCCCCGAATGGAAAAAGGTTAAAGCTTGACAAAAGAAGGCATGAAAATTCTTGAGGCTTTTTGTTGTTTTTGTTGTTGTTGTAAATATTAGGACTACATGCTTCCCGTATTAAAGACAGCCTTTTCCTAGTATTCCTTTTCCTTGTAAGTCATTGTAGTTTCTGTGGATGTGCTATCTGACCAGAAAAGATTAAGAGAGTGGGAATGGTTGCAAAGGTATTCGCTATACTTCCACTGAAAGGAAATGTTTGAGAATTTCTCACAGTAGACATCCGGTAATATTTAAACAATACAGTGTAGGCTTTTTTATGTTCTCCTACGTATTTTTTTCAGTACACTGATGTTATTTTGGGTTAAAAGAAACACTTATTTTTGCATGTTTTTAGACTTCTTGCAGGGTTAAGGGTAGACAAATTTGAAGTTCAAAATGGTGAGGCTGTGAGTTCAGAAATATTCTGCTGGTGATGGGAAGATTCTAGCTACAGCTAGCTGCCTGCCTTATGCTAGGCATTGCTGATAATGTACTTGACCAGTTGTGTGTGCGTATTAGTTTTAGAGCTGTCCTAGTAGCACAAAAGGAAATAAAACTTTCAACAGTTATTTCAGAAACCAGAGCTAGGAGTTGAGTGTGTTTACGTTGTGATTAAGAGCTAATCTCCGTAAGCGTGAAGGAGTAGGTGGCATGGGTACGTGAGTCTCGAGGAAGAAAATTCAAAAGGGAGATTGAGAAAAATGCATTGGTGATATCAATTGTGGCGTACCACTTGGCTACCTTTGACACCAGCTTGTACTGAAGTTCTAGCATGTCTGGCATGGCAGTGCTTAGCTGTGGCGTGACTTCATTCAGGCCATGATATACTCCACTGCTAGCCTCCACTCTCCATTGTACTTTCAGACTACTGAAGGGTGAGTGAGTCTTGCTGATTATTCATTCCTCGGTTCTCCAGTTGGTGAATCAGCTTATGGATGGGAACCAATTAGTTTCGGTTGGTGCGATATTGCCACTGGTGTGCTGCTGTAGTAGCAACGGGCACCTGCTGTTCTACTCTTAGCAATCCCACCGCAGAAGGGTTCTCTGAGAGACCGGACAAGGTAGACAGCTGCTTAATATCCTATATCTCCAAGGCAGCCATACCAAAAGCCCACCGGTACCCTTTTGTGTCCTTGAAAGTACCCTCTACTGAGGTCATCTATGCCAAGGACGCACGGAATCTCTGGGCCAGCCACAATGGGGTGCTTTTGCCTCTCATTCAGAAGAACCTACGTGTGTTGCTTTTTCATTCAACAAGCCTTTCCAGTCAGGATGCTGTGATCGTATTTTTGAATATGAGGCTTTCAATCTTGAATATTAACCACCACCAAGCAAGTTTTAGGTGCTGATGCCTCAGATAGACAATTGTAAATAGAAATGTTTCATGAAGCATATAGTATATACTTTATCATGCCATCTATCTTAATGCTGCTTGTTGAGAGAAATAACAGTCATAATGCTTACAGAAGAACCAGTTCTGTTGCATAAATATACCCAAATACAAAAGCTTTAAACAAAAACAAACAAACAAAAAAACTGATGTACAGTTCTGTTGCATATCTTTCCCTGTCTCCATTTAAAGAAGTCATAATTATTGTCTTAAACAACATTGTGTGCCAGATTGAGAGCTAGACAACTAATTGTGAAGGGAGAGACAGCACTATATAGAATAACCATGAGAATATTCTAAATATTACCAAACATATACTAAAAAAACTCCAATAAGGGCAGCCTTAATATCAATGCAACTAAAGTATATTTTTTTCTGCTCATACATGAATAGTTGTCATGGTTTTATGTTTGTTTTTTTTGTTTGTTTTACAGTATTCCGCATCAAAACATCATGTAGTGTACGGGGCATTAAAGTGTCACTGCCCAATCCCAGGTACCTATCCCTGTACATTACAGCAGTCACGGGATCTGGCCCTTCCGGGTGGGGGGGCGCTCTCTTGCTGCCTTGCAGTGGGTGCTGGAGGTGCTTTCCTGGCCGTTCCAAGCTTTTCAGGTTTGACTCGGTCCCGGGAACTCTCTCTCTCATCTTGTCTGATTTATTAGTCTCAATTTCAATTAAATTGTATATATTGTGTTATCTTGTATTCTGGTGTTATAGTAAAATAGGTTTTCCTCCATAGATTGTTGCCGCTGTTCTTTTCCTCCCTTCCTTCCTTCCTTCCCATTTTGTGGGGCTTGAGTGGGGGGGAGGGCAGGGGCCTAGTGCCTCCCCCTGTCACGGGCATAGGTTGATCTAGTCAACTCCGTGACATCAGTCTTATTATATTAAAAAATTCAACATTGGCATGAAAGTTCTCAAGTCAATTAATCTTTTTTCTATTTATCCTATAAACAGAATATAACTGTATTGATACTAATATTGATGGGCAAGGAGGAAGGCACGACATGTAAATAAAATATTTAGTGTTATGCTACTACTGCATTAGAATTTACCTAATTAAAAACATAAGTAACAGAGGTGCACAGCTGAGTGGTGACTTAATCATTTTACGTATACTTAAGTAAATGAAATGAAGCATTTTATCAAGTGTTCTCACTAATTACAAAAGCCCTAATAAAAGATTCTCATCTCACAAATAAAGGTACATGCCTTCCTAATCAGCATTTAAATGAACACACTTTTGAAGTTAAGAAATTTACTCATTGTTTGGGAAAGGATTTTTTATATACTCTCATCGTAATTGAAAAAAAAAAAATTACTGAAGCAGCTTACCACCTCTGTTGATGTTTCTGCATGTTCAGAAGCAACATGTTCTTGAAGAGTTGTTTCTGTGTAACCCATCTTTCCACAATAAGGACAAGTAAAGGATTGTGGCTGCTCTACAGAGAAAGCTTCTCCACCATAATACAAATCTGGAAAAAGATGTTGTATTATGAGAGATTATTTTCAAGCAACATAGTACATTATTTTATTCATAGTACTCTTTATATAACTATATGCATGTAATCACAGTGAAATTCAAACATTATTTAATGTCATGGTTTTATGATTTTTGTTATCAGTTTTCCACATCATAACATCATGTAGCGCACTCAGAGTTAGAGTTAATGCTCCAGTTCTATGAAATGTCAATAGTTTTGGGGTACCTTTCTCAGAAGAGAACTACATTCCCCAGAAGACTTCCACTGTTCCGTTTCTGTTTTCCATTTAGAGGGAAAGATAAAATGGCTCGCGAGTCATGAGACAGCCCTTTCTTTTACTGCTCATCTCTGCAGTGTGTTCTCCCTAGCCATCTTGCTTTCAGCATTAGAGTAAGGCCTTTGGTTTTGGACACTCTTTATTTGATATATTATCTTCAATTCCAATTATACTGCATTATACTGTGTTATCTTGCATTCTGCTATCATATTTAGTAAATTAGTTTTCTCCATTATATACCATTCTGGAGAGAGAGAGTTTCCGAGCTGAGGTTCAAGCCAAAGGGGAAAATCCCCAAGTCAAATCTAATCGATCACAGGAGTCACCAGTAACAATACCAGTTGCTCCTGTGGAGGGCAAGAAATGGAAACGAGTGTCTTCACATCTTGAACGAAAAAGAGAAGAAGAGGAGGAGGAGGTGGAGGAAGATGCAGGCGAGGGGCCCTCCTCAGAACCACGACCATCGCGAAAGGCAAAAGGGAAAACGAAGAGACGTGCAGAAGAGAGTGATGAAGAGGAAGTCTCTATTACTACTCGCCGGCCTCTAAAGATGACTGAAATCCAAGGTTCAAGAAAGGAGTTCACACGGCGCCCGAATGAAACTCTTGTTTCCTGGTTGGTTCGCTGTTGGGACAGTGGGGCCCATAGCTTGTCTCTGGATGGTAATGAAGCTCGCCAACTGGGTGCCATTGCCAGAGATCCAGCTATTGATAGAGGAATTAGTCGATGTTCGGATGAGGCTGCCTCCCTCTGGGAACGAGTGTTAACAGCCGTGAAGGAAAAGTATCCCTTCAAAAATGGCTTGAAGATTGCGATGAAAAAATGGGATACAGTTGAAAAGGGTATCCAGTATTTGAGGGAAATAGGGGTGGTGGAAATGTTGTATGACCCTGACTTTGTTCCTAACCACCCACACCAAAACCGCGACCCTGAAAAGGTGAGGACAACGCCTGAGATATGGCAGAAAATCGTGACAACAGCGCCGGACAAATATGCCTCTACACTGATGTCAGCGTGTGACAGATTCAACGAACAACAGAGAACACCCTTAATTTACGAGTTAATTCTTACGCTCCAAAACTATCAACAGTTGCTATCCCCCATTCATGCTGCTGTAGCCGCTATCTCAAAAGTGACGGACCAACTGAATGAAACGCGGCAGCAAATGTCTCAACTGATTAACCGTGACAAACCTGTAGCAGTATCAGAGACGCTTGATGAAGATCAGGATATTCAAATGAGTCTAGCGAAGGAGGTGAAGGAGATGATGAAATTTATGCGAGCCCACCTAACTGAAGACGGTGAACCTTCCTTCTCACGTGCACCATCAAAGATCTCAGCTGTTAAAGGCAAACGCTTTCTGGCTCAAGTAAGGGATAATACACTGCGAATTGTCTTGTGGTGTTACCTATGTGACCACAGAGAAGACATGGGGAAGTGGCACGGTCAACCTACTCCTGTACTACGAGCCCGGGTGAAAGAATTACAAGGCAGATCAAGTACCAGTGCAGTTGCTCCAGTTACCACAGGTGATGAAGAGAGGGGCCCTGCCCTCAGTCAGGGGGGGAAAGGGATAATAGAGTGCATTGGACTGTGTGGATTAGAAGCCCTGGCACATCAGAACCACTGAAATATAAGGCACTGGTGGACACTGGTGCACAGTGCACTCTGATGGCCTCGAGTCACCAAGGGACAGAATCAATCCATATTTCTGGAGTGACCGGGGGCTCTCAAGAATTGACTGTGTTGGAGGCTGAGATAAGCCTCACTGGTAAGGACTGGCAAAAACATCCTATTGTGACGGGCCCAGGGGCTCCATGTATTCTAGGTATTGATTATCTCAGAAGGGGGCATTTCAAGGATCCTAAGGGGTATCGATGGGCCTTTGGAATAGCTGCTGTGGACACAGACAACATTAAGCAGCTGTCTGTTTTGCCTGGACTGTCAGAAGATCCATCTGTTGTGGGGCTGCTGCGAGTAAAAGAGCAACAGGTACCGATTGCTACAAAAACGGTGCACAGGCGTCAGTACCGCACCAACAGGGATTCTTTGCTCCCCATTCAGAAGTTGATGCGTCAACTAGAGAGCCAGGGAGTGATCAGCAAAACTCACTCGCCTTTTAACAGCCCCATATGGCCAGTGCGTAAAGCCAGTGGAGAATGGAGGCTGACGGTGGACTACCGTGGCCTGAATGAAGTCACACCCCCACTGAGTGCTGCTGTGCCGGACATGTTAGAACTCCAGTATGAACTGGAGTCAAAAGCGGCCAAATGGTATGCCACCACTGACATTGCTAATGCCTTCTTTTCCATCCCTTTGGCCAAAGAATGTAAGCCACAGTTTGCTTTCACCTGGAGGGGCATTCAGTATACCTGGAACCGTTTGCCCCAGGGGTGGAAACACAGCCCAACCATTTGCCATGGGTTGATCCAAACTGTATTGGAACAGGGCAGTGCTCCTGAGCACCTGCAGTACATTGATGATATCATTGTGTGTGGCGATACAGCAGAAGAATGGGGATGTCCAATGTGTACCACAAGGAAACTTGATGCCGGGGGAGTGCAGTTACTAATTCTATGTATATGTATATAGCCATGTGTGCATTTTAATCATTTTTTGTTTGTTTGTGTATATGTATATATATTTTAAGCAAGATGTAATGATGTAGAATAAGGGGTGGAATGTCATGGTTCTATGTTTTTTGTTTTTGTTATTTTGTTTTTGGCATTCAGTATTCCACATCAAAACATCATGTAGTGTACGGGGCATTAAAGTGTCACTGCCCCAATCCCAGCTACCTATCCCTGTGCATTACAGCAGTCACGGGATCTGGCCCTTCCGGGTGGGGGGGGCGCTCTCTTGCTGCCTTGCAGTGGGTGCTGGAGGTGCTTTCCCGGCCGTTCCAAGCTTTTCAGGTTTGACTCGGTCCCGGGAACTCTCTCTCTCTTATCTTGTCTGATTTATTAATCTCAATTTCAATTAAATTGTATTACATTTTGTTATCTTGTATTCCAATATTACAGTAAAATAAGTTTTCCTCCACAGATTGTTGCTGCTGTTCTTTTCCTCCCTTCCTTCCTTCCTTCCCATTTTTGTGGGACTGGGGTGGGGGGGGAGGGCAGAGGCCTGTCGCCCCTGTCACAGACACAGATTGATCTGGTCAACTCGGTGACAAGGGTATCCAGTATTTGAGGGAAATAGGCGTGGTGGAAATGTTGTATGACCCTGACTTTGTTCCTAATCACCCACACCAAGACCACGACCCTGAAGAAGTACGGATGATGCCTGAGGTATGGCAGAAACTCATGACAACAGCGCCAGACAAATATGCCTCTACACTAATGTCAGCGTATGACAGATACAACGAACAACAGAGAACACCCTTAGTTTTTTAATTGATACTTACGCTCCTAAGCTATGAACAATTGCTACCCCCAACTCACGCTTCCATTGCCACTATCTCCCAAATGACGGACCAACTGAATGAAACACAAAAGCAAGTGTCTCAACTGATTAATTGTGACAAACCTGTAGCAGTATCAGAGACGCTGGATGAAGATCAGGATAATGAAATGAGTCTAGCGAAGGAGGTGAAGGAGGTGATGTAATTTATGCGAGCCCACCTAACGAAAGACGATGAACCTTCCTTCTCACGTGCACCATCAAAAATCTCAGCTGTTAAATGCAAACACTTTCCGGCTCTAGTAAGGAATAATACACTGCGAATTGTCTTGTGGTGTTACCTATGTGACCACGGAGAAGACATGAGGAAGTGGCATGACCAACCTACTCCTGTACTACGAGCACGGGTGAAAGAATTGCAAAGCAGACCAACCACCACTGCAGTTGCTCCAGTTACCACAGGTAATGAAGAGAGGGGCCCTGCCCTCAGTCAGGGGGGGAAAGGGATAATA